GAGACCTCCTGGGTCTCAATTAGCTCGCCAATCACCTGAAATACCGGGTTCCGGCCCGGCCGCGGAGCAAAAGGGCTCCCTACTTAGTCGACTCGCACGACTTCTGAACGAAATCCTTCTCTAGAACTAGTTGCTATTAGTTATCATGTCACTGAGGCTCTAACAACCTCCTGATCCAACTGATTGGGTCCGTACGTCGAATCCTGATATTACCAAACCACGGCTAAACGCGATTGCTACATGACCAATTGTAGCCTTATATAACAAGCAACCTTAAGCAAATTCATTGCTTCCTCGGTCTCAAAACTGTAGTAGCGACCCTACAGTCTTATCACTGGCTCAACTAGATCTAATCCATCCAGATAATTCCGAAATTCCAATCCGTGGATTTCCATATCCTCACTGCTACACCTGAACTGGTGGGTACTACTGTTCCTTCCGCGTCCTAACAACACACTCACGCTATCTACCAACCTAGTGAATGCTACAGCTACACCCGCGGACTTACAACACTCTATCACTATCTGGCTGCTAGTGAATGCTACGGCTACTCCCGCAGACTTACAACACTCTAATACTATCTGGCTGCTAGTGAATGCTACGGCTACACCCGCAGACTTACAACACTCTAACACTATCTGGCTGCTAGTGAATGCTACGGCTACACCCGCAGACTTACAACACTCTCCATACTGGATCGAACACGTGCTTGACCCGCACTCAACTGAACTCATGTCCTGACTGGAATCCCCAACCTGATTCCCTAAGGCTTGCTAGTAAACATTACGGGAACGCGATCTCATCATTGGCAAGTTTTTCTGAACTTCTATCTCACACTATCCTCAAATCATACAGCCGCTTGGGCTTTCTTCCTTCCTGACAAGGATGCGAAACTTATCCCATCTTCATAACCGCTCTTGCTTCGGAATCCTTGGGTGATCTTCCCCCACTTTGATTCAGCTAATGCCCTACAGTACCCAAAACTGGAAAAATTCTCAATTCTTCCTACCCTCCCATGACCAATCTGCTAGAACTCACGCTTATCCTTGCTAGGGTTTCAACACCGTCTAATCCAAAAGATCACACAACTTCTAAAAAAAATCCGAATAAATCTCCGGTAATAACCCGCTAGACTCGGGAAGCTCCGAATCTCAATTGGAGACCTCGGAATCTCCCACTGCATCACGGCCTCTAACTTGGCCAGATCGACTAGAATATCCTTCTGATTGACAAGGTGCCCAAGAAATTGCACCCCGCGCAACTAGAACTCACAATTGAAGAACCTTGTGGAAATTCTCTCCCTCCTCAAAGTCTCTAGCACCTCCCTCAGGTGCTTCTCGTGCTGCTCCTCAGTCTTGGAATAAACCAAGATGACGCTGTACTTTCCCAATCCCGTAATCTGGGGAATTGCTCTATCACAATTCGCTAATGCTTCTCGGCATGCAATTGGCATATGACATCTCTTGAAAATATAATTCAGACACAAACAAAGGATAATTCAAGGTTACACTTACTCAACCCTTGGAACAAAAGGCTCCCTTGTGCAGTTTCCCGCAAGTGCTGCACCGAATCTGACCCTGCTGGCCTCTCAGAAGCTGATCTAAAATCTACCGTCTCCTCCCGATACCCCTCACTATAAGCAACTGATTCGGTTCCCTCTTACCAATGTGCTCCAAGTCTATATCTCGTTCTCAAGCTCAAGAAGTCATATCATTCAGGGTCTTACACCCCGAGATACTCATGATCTTCCTGCTATCATTCTACAGTATGTTCTGATAACTTACCTTCTTCATTTCCTCATCTGCTTCATACTGTGGTACCATACAAGCTCTTTCCCGAGACTTGGCAGTGATCTCTGCCACAGTCTCAGTCGTCTGGTGGAGATCTAACAACTCTTGCGCCAACTGTTGTGCCTCAATCGCTTGGGCACACTCTGCCCAGAATCTGGTCTAAAAGTCATCCCATGACATAGCATCAACCACATCATCACTCAACTCACTACCAACCTCTTCCTATCAATCTCGTGCCCTATCCCTCAGGAGACAGGAAGTAAGTAAGATCTTCTCTCCTTTCGAGACAACGTCTGGTACGAAAAGTGTTGGTGACATCAACCAACCATATGCTGCTCACAATGGGGTCCCTAACCCCCATGACAATCTGAAGCCTCACAACCTCTGAATTCCCGAAACATCAACGTACGGGTCTCTATCATGACTGTTATCTCAGTGCAGAATGCACTCGGCCTCTCATCACAAATCTCTATAATGCCCTCCTTGATCACACTGAGGATCACAGGAGTCTGGTCAATGATACTGCACGTAATTCTCAGATGGAATGAACTCCCTCATCTGATCATCAATCTGCCCGGCTCCAGAGTCCGAGCCTGATCCCTCGTCGACACCAGAACTACCATATGGTCTACCACGTAGGGTCACTATACTCGGCAACATACCATCACTAACATCACAATACTCATCCAAACTCGAGGGATCTCACACACTACAAGTTCCCTGGGTTCATCTCAGCCTTCCTTGATTCGAGTACGGATCCTCTGCTTTCAGTAGTACGGGCCCATACTACCTTCCACATCTATCCGTACTTTCCTCAAGTACTGCCTCGACTCCACCAAGTCCCTTCTACTACTACTGTTGATCTTATGCTAATCTCATCCTAGGCTTTCCCTAGAGTAATCACCAACCCACTCTCCGCCATCAGCTGCATAAGAAGTCCCTGCTTTATTCCCCTAACTAGCTCGCGAATACTATTACATATTACTCAGACTAGATAATTCTTCGAATGAGAGATCCTACCCTACAACGGTTGGACTCAAACAAGAGCTGCGAAATAGAGCTAGACCTAACCTTCTGAAATTATTTAGTCCTTGCAATATGTAACTTAACATATTCATTTACTAGTTAGTGAAAGACAACTAGAACTCCTAAAAGCACAAACCAAGCAGCATTCGGGCGTTGAGTACACATAATCAAGCATATACTACTCTGGCTATCATACTGACTAATTTGTACTAGCATGCAGTTCTCAATAAGCTGGTACACATATAACAGGCACATAAGGCATCCTTCCTAGATCCTTAGCCCTAAACTAGCATGTAGTTCTCATAAAGCTGATACACATACAATAGGCACATAAGGCATCCTTCCTAGATCCTTAGTCCTAATCTAGCATGCAGTTCTCATAAAGCTGATACTCATATCATAACATGAACTTGTATGGGTAATTTGGGAGTACTTACTTGAGCTCGGCTGATTGCATGCACCACACCCTTTTCTCTTTTTCAAAATTCTTTTCGCTTTTTCTAAGATTATTTTCTTTATACTTTTTCTAAAATTGTTTTCTTTTCTCAAAATCCCTTTGTAAACATGGTTTTTCTTTTGAAAACTTTATACCACTTCCTTAGTTTGAGTTCAGACACACCCGAAAGGGTGTCCGAATCCCTCAAACCAAGGCTCTGATACCAACGTGTAACATCCTAAAAATACAGTCTGAAAATTTCGTTTTAAATCAGTAATAAAACCATAGTCATCATACGTCATAGAAAAATCACAACAATGTATCTCAGAGTAATATAACAACTGTCATGTATATCATAGTATAAACACCCCAGGCTGAACAAATGGTGTGTGCACTGCAATCTTTCCGAGCTCCTCTTTTGAAAACTGAGTACCTGAAACCAAAACTGAAAACTGTAAGCACGAAGCTTAGTGAGTCTCCCCAAACTACCACATATCATATAATAACATATAAAGCACATACTGGGCCTTGCCCACTGCATCGGACCGGAGTCCGGAACTGACTAGGGCCTTGCCCACTGCATTGGACCGAAATCCGGAACTAACTAGGGCCTTGCCCACTGCATCGGACCGAAATCCGGAACTAACTAGGGCCTTGCCCACTGCATCGGACCGAAGTCCGGAACTGACTGAACATAGCATAACATAGCATATAATATGAACACATATACTGCATACTGCATCGGACCATAGTCTGGAACACATAACACATACCATGCCTGTATCACAAAGACACCAAGCATACTGAACTACTGCATCGGACCGTAGTCTGGAACTACTACTAACTAAACGGGCCGGCATTGTGGCCGTAGACCCGTTCCTACTGGAAGAGGACTCACCTCACACTGCTGAAGTCCCGTAGACACAATCTCACACTGCTGAAGTCCCGCAGACTCAACCCCAGCTGCTGGATGACAGATTCCCGAACTGTCAACACCAAAATAACACCCAATTAATAATTAGGTTCTATCACATATCCATAATTCCATGCTTGGGGTAAAAGACTACTTTACCCTTAACTTAGCTTGACTCAATCCCAAGGCCCAATCCAAAGGCCCAAAGTCCAACTATGGCTCAAAGCGCAACCTTTGGCCCAATTTTCCAAATTGGGCCCAAACCTCTACATGGACTTCCCTTAAGGCCCAATTGTTCAGTCCAGTCCAATATGTCTCATTCTAAGGGCCCAATACCATACAACCATCTAGGCCCAACTATGGTCCAATTTTCCAAATTGGGCCCAAACCCTCTTATGGGCCTTACCCTAAAGCCCATTAAATTGTTCTAGTCCATTTGCTTGTTCTTGGATGGCCCAACACAAAGCCCAAGTGAAATTAGGGTTAAGTATTTCTTACTTAACCCATTAATGACTTTGCCATTAAGTCCTTTACTCTACTAGATTAATGATATGGAGAAATTGGGCTTAATACACAATCCAATCTCAAAAGCCCAAAAGTGGATTCAATAAGTCTAAGGCCCAATTACTCACAATTAGGGTTTTCTAAACCCTAATTAGGGTTTTTCACCCAATCATGGCTCAATAGGCCCAAAACTACTCCTTAAGCCCATTAGGGTTTTGCTAGGCCAATTAGGGTTTGCTTGTGGGGCATCACTCACTACCACCTCGGGTAGTGGCGGTCCATGGCGGCTCAGGGCGGCGGCCGGAGGTTACTATCGTCACAGTGAGGTCGCATGGCGGCGACATCTTCGGCAAAGTGTGATGGAACGGATGCTACAGGTGCACCGGCCTTAGAGGCTTCCTTGCAGCGCTGGTCATCACCGGAAGGAGAGTAGCGGCGGTGGTGACTCAACGAAGGGAGCGGCGGCACTAGGTGGGGGAAATAAGGTGGAGGCGGCTGATCTCCTCATTTAGGGTTAGGGTTGGACTGGAGGGGTGACGGGATATATACCCTGATCCCCTAACTTGTTCCCATAATGACATAAGTAGTCCCTCTCTCTAGAAATATTTTGCAAACTAACCCAATATTTACCCTTTCAGCCCTCAATAATAAAATTCATTACAATTTAGGTACGATAATTACCAAACATACCCTTGCCTCTAAAATTCTTCTCAAAACGACCCCATAACTTACTAAACAACCCCCAACTATCAAAATTCTTCACAAATTAGTCCGAGACTTACATTTATTAACTTATTTAAATAAACAGGGTGTTACACTTAAATAAGGTCCAACTTTACTTTTTCAAAGCCCAAAGCCTTTTCATGGCCGAATTTCAATCTACAACCATGAATTAAGAAACGATCCTAAACAAGGTGTTACATTTAGTGTTATAATTATTATTTTATTGTTAATATCAATGACATAGTCATTTCAACAACATATATTTGTTATAATTTTCACTTCATAATTTAATACAAAAATGCATACTACATTTTGATGTATGTCTCCGTCTAACCTTTTGATGTATGTCTCCCTCATAGTGCAAATATTATATGGTCCTAATTCATAATTTCACATGTAGGTGTATCCACTTAATTTAAATTTGAAACCTTTGAAAAATCCAACCAATTCTATAAACATGCTAATATTCAATTTGATAAATCAAAGACTATAAAATTACCATATTTAAATATCAAAATGTTCATAAATTATTTCTAGTTTTAGGGTATAATACTTAAAGTATATATCATTATTAATAACTTTATTAAAATAATAATAACTTTTTTAAAAAAGACGCCACCTCTTTCATAGTCTCGATATGTTTCTTTGTCAATTGTTATTTGGTGAATTTTAAAAAGAAAAAAAAAAGAACGAAAGATTAAGATTGGATGCGGAATAGATGATCATCACTCATCACCAATGAGAATGAGATGTAAGTGTATCAAAAGGGAGCTTGCATTTGAAAAGTAAAATAAAATTTTTGTGAGAAGATAAAATGTTACTAGAGGAAGAGGCGATGTGGGGTAAACAAAGAAAAATCACAATGACGAAAATGGAAGACAAAAGAACCAGACTTGAACCCTCAATATTTGATTGGTATATATTTCGTAGTGTGTAAAATGCAGCACCTTTGCATTTAAACTACAATAAACAACGATAATTGACCAAAACAATCGTGAGAAGTTTATGGCTTAATCTTATTTATTCAGCAATCGTTATGGTTTTCATCCATTCATCTGTTGTCCACATCGTAGCGACAGCTAAAAATCAGCCAGCCAAGCCATCAGTAGCATTGGCCTTCAACGTGCGTCCTTAGTTTAGGACTAGAAAGTGCTTAATTGGAAATTTTGTATTTAACATTTTAACAAAGAATAACCGGAACAAGTTTATGTGCACACTTTCATGGAACAATTTTCTTGCTATTGCATGTCTAATTGAAGTGTATTTTAATATAGAAATTGGATGTGTTCAATGTCGACATTTATGGCGCAACAGCTCTTCTGATATTAACAATGAGCTATATGCGGGATATAAGAAGGGAAACTATCAGAAGAAAATAAATGAAATATTAGCAGGTTGGTTGATCTAAACATAGTTTGATTGAGTTTTTTTTCTTATATATATATATATATATATATATTAAAATTGTGGAGAAAAGGAACAGTTAAATTGACATAGTTTGTCTAGATTTCGTCCCTTGATTTACATATCCGGTCCCTCTGGTTGTATGTCACTTCTTTAATTTATTCATTATTATATATATATATATATATATATATATATATATATATATATATATATATATTAAGGAAATGAAAGTTAGGAACAGTACCTGACCAGGGTACTGTTCCTTGGGTTACCACAGGGTTACGCGTATTCCTTCCCGATCCTTCCACCGTCTTCCTATATCTATCTCTGTTCCAATTTCCACCGTCTTCCTTTTATCATCTTCATCAGGTCGATGGTTCTTCTACTTCATGCAGTCGTCTGGCTGCACGACCGCGACCGTGCCTCCATTTGATCGTGTTATTCTTTCCAGTACCTTCAATTACCCTTTTGTTCTTAGTCTTCGTCTCCACCGCTTCTCGCCTCCACTGCACCGGAATCAACCATCCATACACTGTGCGAGTTCCGCAATCGATATCAACCACAGATAACCCACATCTGATCCGGCGGAAATTCAAAAAACCCTACACCACCGGTGCTACGAGAGTACTCAGCGGTATCATCTCCATCATCACTACCAGTCTCCTTCATCCCTGTATTTGGCTTCTCCGCTGCCCTGTTCTTCGCCGACGCACCACCATCAGCAGCATCCGCATTCGACGTTAATCTCACAGAAGGTCAAAAAAGGTGTTTTACTTTTATTCGTTCACCATATGTTTACATTTAATTTCGATCATTGGTTATTGTAGTCGCCTTCTTTGGTCTCCCTATTTGTACTTTTGGAGAAGTATATGTTGTATGCAGATAGGGTGTTTGATGAAATGTTTGTCTGCTTTTTATTTGGAGATGTATATTTTGGATGCAGATAAGGTGTTTGATGAATTGTTTGTCTGTTTTTTTATGACCGGTTATTGTTTTTCTTTGATTCCTGTGGCAGATCTGTGGCTCATAATTTAAGCTTTTAGGGATTGAGCATATACACATGGGAAACAGACGATGCAAATACTCATCAAATACTTTGTTTGCTTCAACAACTCCATACTCCCAACCTTCTTACACTTAACTTGGGGATTCTCCATGTACTGGATTTGCTCATTCATCTTTTAATCTCAACTATAACACATACACTTCCATAATTATTTTTCTTTTTCTTTCACAAAATAAGATATTCAATTTGCATCTATTTTCTTTAGTAAATTATATTTATAATTTGTTAATATAATAATTTGTGATGACAAGAACGATAGAGATGCAAATATGCTCCCGAAATTTAATAGAACACATATTTAAAACTTAAAACATTCACTCAAGAATTGTGGTCATGAGATACAGGAACTATTCTGTTTAATAATTTACTCAAATCTTCTTTATCTTTCCTGTTATGATGTTATGTACATTTTTAGATTGATTTTACCGTTTTCATTGTTTACAGGTTGTTTATCTTTCCCATTATTGTAGTATAAGAGGTAAACTTTCATGCATTTTTTATAATCTTTCAGAATTAGGTGTATCCATAATTATTTTTCTTTTTCTTCCATAATTATGTGGTATTCGAATTTCCAAATTTTTATTCTTATACAGTGAATGGAGAAGATCACATACCATTTCTTCACAAACAAAGTATAGCCAACTTTGAAGCACTTTCTAAAGGAGGGGTAAGTCAGTCTTTTGTCTGGATCTTAAATATCAGATAATTTCCAGTAAACAGGAAATAAAATAAAACAAGAATATTTTTTTGGTTAAACAAATTATATATGTTTGCTTTGCTTGCACATTACTGTCATGACTCATGAGGTCAAGAGTTCATCAGAAACTTAGAATGATTTTGCCTTTGGTACGTTTCTGTTATATGTCTACAGCCATTTCCTGCTTTTTGTTTTTCTAAAAAAAATTGTTTCTTTCCTGTATCAAATCTTTTACAATTACTTCTCTCTCATTTGCTTCTTTTAGTGGGAATTTGTATTGATGTCTGTTCCTTAAAGAATCCATCTCTCATTCAACAAATTCTCATATTTATTCCATCTCTCATCCAGTAAATGAAACAATATTTTATGATATTTGAAAATATTAAAAAAGTGCAAAGTATTTATAGTTGAAAATTTTATATGAATGTCTTACTTACTCGAGTATCTTAAGTTACCAATGTATTTTAGATATATGAAAATCCCGTTTATTAAAAATTAATTTGTAACTGATATAAACAAAAAAACATTTAGAATCAAGGACAGTCTCATTTAAGACCATCTAAGGACAAATTGGTGATTACCCCGCAAAAAATTCTTTTTTTTTTAATTGTCTAAAGTTGATTGTATTTCTTATCCCATTGAGGGGAATGCATTTACATCAATTTTAAAGAAATTGTTGTAGCTTCTTTAGCCGTAGTAATCGACAACCGGTAGGTTTCTCGCTATAACTTTATTAAAACACAAACTGTTGCACACTTACTAATTACCCATTTACCATTGTTGCAAGAAGGCTTCTCTTTCCAGACGCAAGTGTAGTTTCCGTCTCCGATTTCCCACCGTCGTCAGCCACCATCCATTTACGTAAAACATTCATCAAGTAAAAATCTTAAATAACGATTTTGTAAGTATCTTATTTCCTGAAAGTTTTAATCTTTGTGAAAATATATATAATTTTTTTTATTATATGTAATTATTGGTTCTGCGATATATCATTTTGTGTAATTTTTTTATTTTAGGTTGTGAGAATGGGTAGTTGTTGTATTTGTAACAACTGAAAATTGAAATTATAAATCTTAATTACGATGTTTGTTCTATTTCTTTGTCATCTCATTCTATTATACCAAAAGCACCCCTAACGTAACTCAACGTTTTATATCGTTTTGGTTCTTATTTTAAGGCTACGGGGACCAAACCGATATAAAACCTTGAAATAAGAACCACAACTGAAAAAAGTTCAATTTTAGATTAAAAACTAGAAAAATCAAAAAACGTAGGGACCCTTTTTGTAATTTAGAGTAAATTACAGAAATGGTCCTTGTGCTTTCTGATTCTTTTCATTGTTTAGTTCAAAACTGAAACCTTTTTCAGTTTTAGCCTTTTTTTCAAGGTTCCAGGTCCAAAATTGATATGAAGTCTTTCAATTGTTGTCGGTTTCGCCACCGCCACTGGTCTACGCATCCATTCAGCTACTGCTGTTACAATTTACAGCAAATGATCACACTGCAGCAATCTCTTTTGTCTGGTAGGCAACCACCCACTCAGTAAAATGTTTATCCTATTTTCTAATAGGTCAACTCAACTGTTGATTTTCACTTCACCATGTAATTCATATTCATGGTTTGATATCAGTTTTTTGTTTGTATATTCAGGGAAACAGGTCAAACCGGTGTAGCAACAGGTACAAAATAGTTAAAAAAAAATTATATACACAAATTTACAACTAAATCTTAATACATATTATTATATTTATAATAATCATGCTTTTTTGGGTGTAGCAGGTGCGCCCAACATGGGAGATGCCCAGCAGAAACAAATCATTGATGCTAAAGGTAAAACTTAAATTATATTTTAACGTTGCTATTAACTACTTTAGAATTTTTAAAATAAGAAATACAATGTTTTTTCCTTTTTTTAAAAAAAATCATTTAATAAATGTGATAATGAATAATTATATTACTAAAAGAGGTTGTTATTATATGATGGAAAAACTGCAGAGGTGAAGGTTGGATTGTCTACAAAGAACGCCCACAAATTTTGTCCATGCTGTAATGAACGAATCATGTAAGTGCGATCTCCATTTGACCAATTTTGTTTTGTTATTATATGATGGAAAAACTGCAGAGGTGAACATTAGGTGTTTGACTACATAAAAAAAAAACCCACGCTAAGCTTTTTACACTTTTGTTGTTACAGTCCCTAAAGAAAAGTCTCAAGTTGTTGATGTGAATTTGTAAAAGCCATGGTTGGATTGTGTTTTTGGTTTTTTACTTTTTCCTTTTTGCCTGAGTTTTAGGTGTTCTGATATCAATATTGATGTGTATGTGTTTATTACTACCATAATTTACCGTTGCATTTCTTATTTTGGGCTTTATGGTATGCTAAGAAAGTTGATGGTGGTATTGAACTATTGATGTTGTTTTGCTAGCCACTAACGACAGGTTTTTTTCATCCGATTCATGACAAATTACATACATTAGCAATGTACTTTACTATGGATACCATTCAGGCAGTGTGCTTCAGATAATAGTAATGTATGAAACATATGAACATACACACAAAACTAACGCTTTCCGTCCCGCGCAACGCGCGGGAAACCTTTCTAGTATATATATATATATATATATATATATCCCGTTTGATTGTTTACTAAGTACATGATATAAGCTTTGATTTTACATTTTTATATTAAAATTTCCACAGGCTATGATTTCTTGAATTCGAATATCAATAATTATAATGTGACGATATGGTACAACTCTACATACAAGAAGGATACAGGAAATGGTCCCATTAGATTGGTTCGGGTTCCTCGGTCAATAAATTTGGTACACATACTATATTTGAAGCATGCATATACTTCGTGAATTGCACATGAAGTTTTGCATCTTGATGGTTATGATTCAAATTAGGGCATCGGAAATGCATTTATCTTTATGGAGTTTGATGGATTGTAATATCATCATTCTACTTTTCATACAACTTTACCATTTTCTTTTTGCAATGCAGTGAAATCTAAAGAAGAAGTTTGGGACGACCCATTGGATTTCAATGCCCGGGGAGAGATACTAAATTAATGTCTTATATATAGAAAGTTTTATATAGCATATTAAAGTGAATAAAATTTTATAGTCAAACTAAATCAAAGGTTATACAAATAAAAACATACAAAAGTTCACTTAAAACGATGCTTTTATGTATTTTTTGAGGCAAAAACACCTCTTATTTTATGATAATCAAGACTTGGCCCACAAAATATCCACCCCCCCCCCCCCCCCCCGGGTTGTTGCCTTGGGCCATCATCCGGACTGCCTAGTACTTGGGCCGGGTCTAACAAAAGTTCAATGGAACATTTATTTAAAAAAAAATCTTTTTCTCATTGTAAAGTTTAATGGCCACTAAACATATCCATTGAACCTACGCCAATGTGGCATTCTACTGTGATTGAGTTTTATCCATTGAATGTGAACGGGTTATTCCACCTCATTCACTATGCATTAAACTATGCAATGTGGGTTTTATTAGTGTTTATCCGCTAATATCTTTTAATAAGTCCATATTTACAGCTAAACCTTGTTCCACATCAAAGAAAATTTTACTTTTTCGTGGAATGTAAAAATGATATTTTTTCTTCATAACCTTGTAGCATCCAATAGCGGACTTATATTATTGGCACACCCACAAATAGGAGTTAAAAAGAACATACTTTTCATGAAAACCATAATGCAAATTATAACATTTCCAACTTATATGCATACAGGTCTCAAATGCTTTCCTACAACTTCTGATTGGGCCATCTACACAAATGTTGTTTGATTTCATAAAAGAGATGCCGAAACCTGAAACAGAAATCAGACTAGATTTTTCTTCTCTCCTTGGACCATTATTCTTTACATGGGTCATTTTGCAACTATTCCCTGTAAGTTAAATTTCAAAATTTTTAAAAAGATTATATTTAGTTAATAGTCTGTAGCATAGCAGTGTCTGCTGATACTTCTATGTTCTTTAATGGTAGGATGGGTTTCCTATTAAATTTTTCTAAATTTGGTCGATGAAGCTTATATATTTTGCTTATATGTTGTATTATATTTGTTCTTCATTCCAATGGAGACCAATATAACATTTCTCTTATCGCATTTTTCTTTTCTAGCCTACCCGGTTAGTTTGGACCCATCCACTACATAGACCTCGTACACTGTGTTTGGTATACAAGACTCGAGTGGACTAGACAAGATTTTTGGGGCTATTTTTGATGATATGGATGATGAGGGCATTCACATCTTTTGCACGCGTAATATTGACATCGAGTTCCTGGCCACCCTTTTGGGTAGAACAAAATTGCAATTTTTGTCCTATTGATATCACTACAATGCACACCAAAGGAAATATAACTTGTTATGCAATGTCCACTCTGTCTTGCCATGCGTAGAAAACAAGGTTATAAGAATAAATTACCATACTTGTTGCAGATTGTACTAACAGCTCTGGTGTATGAGAAGCAACAAAACTTAAGGATCATGATGAAAATGCATGGGCTTGGGGATGACCCTTACTTGATGATTTCTTATGCATACTTTCTTGCCATATCATTGGTGTACATGTTCTGTTTCGTGGTCTTTGGCTCAGTTGTAGGTACAAATTAGCAAAAAACTAAATTACACTGTTTATATGACTATTTTAGTTTGTTCACCTAATCCGCTTCAATTCATTGCAGGGTTAAAGTTTTTCACATTGAATGACTATAGCATTCAGTTTGTATTCTATTTCATCTACATAAACTTACAAATTTCTCTGTCGTTTCTAGTAGCTGCTCTATTCTCTAATGTGAAGACTGTTGCAGGTTTGTTTTCCATGTCTGTTAGAGTTGCTTAGTATGTGTTTGTTGCACGAGATAACACTGATCGGACTGGGCACACGTATTTTGCAAATACGAGTGATCGAGAGCAAGAGTCCCTATCCCACATTGTTCCACCTTTTTACATGGGACAAAAAATCACATTTTCCATTAACATCAATCGACCCAGTTAGCAAGAAAACGCTGCCCTATCCTACATAGCAAACAGGGCCTTAATGTTCCTTGTAAGAATGATAGAGATACATGTGAGTTATGAATTGTATGGATATGATTATGACAGTGGTAGGGTACATGATTGTCTTTGCAAGTGGCCTCTTAGGAGGATTCTTCTTCCAGTTCTTCCTTCAAGATACATCACTCCCAAGTAAGTAAAGATATAAATAATGTAGTTCTCATCATTTCATGTTGCACATATGTTTCTACAAAAAGGGTTATTCTTCCAGAAACTCTGAGTTGGCCCACAGATCATGTTCCAAAAATTAATGTTATTGAAAATATATATATAATGGCATTGAAAGTTGAACTCTTTAGAGCTATGTATAATATGTTATTGTCTTAATATTTTTGTAGGAGTTTGGATTGTGGTGATGGAGTTATATCCATGTTTTTCTCTATATGCTGGATTATACGAGTTTTCACAGTATGCTTTTACCGGAAACTATATGGGGACTCGTGGAATGCGTTGGGGAGATTTAATTGACAGCAACAATGGGATGGTTCACGTCCTAATAATTATGATTGTGGAATGGGTGGTGGTTTTTTTTATGGCATACTATACTGACCAATTTCTAACATCGGGAAGTGGTTCCCGAAAAAGTCCACTTTTTTTCTCGCATAAGCTCAAAAGTAAGCCCTCCTCATCGTTCAAAAATCCCTTATCATCATTCAGGCTACCGAGTTTACAAAGGAAGGGTTCAAAAGTATATGTGGAGCTGGAGAAATCTGATGTTGTCCAAGAGGCAAGTAGTACTTCTTTACTCGGTTATAATTAGTGCCCACAGTTGGTTCTAGGGTGGTATCTTTGTAGAAAATAAGGCTACAGTCTCTGTAGCAGTAGTGGGTGAGTTTCAGTTCCAATGTGTATTGTGCTCCTTCTAGGCACTAGGCTCTTATTTGCATCTAATGTGATCTTCCCGAGGTGTCACGGCGTGGGGCCACTTAGGGGTTGGTGGAAGAATTGTCTTTTTGAAGAAAATAGTTCCCATAGTATATGATCTACTATATTTTGTTAATTTTACTAGTTGTATATTACACCAGTTAAGAATGATAAAATTATAGGTATACATTTTTCAACAAAAACCTTATATCTAGTTTTTTAAGTGGTCAACTTCTATCTGATCTCCTAGATTATTGTATTCTCTAACTTTTGGTAATACCAATTGTCTCCCATTCCACCTTCTATCAGAAAGAGAGGGTTGAACTGTCACTACTTAAACAAGACACAACCCATGCTATTGTATGTGATAACCTCAAAAAGGTGTATCGAGGAAGAGATGGAAACCCCGAGAAGATTGCAGTTAGAGGGTTGTCACTTGCATTATCTCAAGGGGAGTGCTTTGGTATGCTTGGTCCAAATGGTGCTGGCAAAACTTCCTTCATAAATATGGTTAGTGTAAAAGCATCTTTTAATCTTAATTCACGGTTTGTTCTTGTTTATTTGTATACCAAAAAGTAAAGTGCATACTCTTTTATCCAAGGAGTCCCCACATGCTTGATCTAGCAATAAGAAAGGTGATAATCCATAAGTAAGATATCAGGATAAGCCTGAGCATCACCTTTTTGCTGTGGAGACATTGTGATTTACCTGTCTATATTGTCTATGAGACTGATTGATGGGGGGGTATCATTACTAAATACTCTAATTTATAACTCGGTTGTTTCTGTAATATTCGAAGACAGTTTCAGTGTTCTTTCTTATGGAATGTGCTATTTTCTTTTGATCTCTTTCATGACAAATCTCAAACTAATAAAAGTGAGGTGGTGTTCACAGATGATTGGGTTGGTTAAGCCAAGCTCCGGTGCAGCATATGTTCGTGGCCTGGATATAAGAACAGACATGGATGGGATATATGCCAACATGGGTGTCTGTCCTCAGCATGAGTAAGGACCTTTTTTTCTCTTGATAAACGATATTTAAAAACATATTTGTGAAAATGACCACATAATTAAGGAAATGGAAGGAACATATAAATTTGGAAAAATTGTAAAAAGTTGTAAAAAGTCAGGGTTTTAAATGGGGAAAACCTCCTTTTCATGACTTTTGTAATTCTTTGTGCTTTATTTTAAAAAGAAACACCCATGTATCAAAATCCCTCTAGAAGTAACATCAGAAGTTGTTGGTTTTGCTAATTACGTTGGTTAGATGAGTTTATGGGAAGTGATTCTTCCACATAAGAAACTGATTCGTCCGCATAAGATACAACATTGCAGTCATCATTCATGTCAGTGCATCACGTATTTTATGTGGATGAATTAAATTATTAAATAGAAGAATCAATTCCTTAAACTTAACTTAAATTTATGTTATTTTAATACTAAGGTTTGTTATATAGCCTACTGTGGGAGACCCTAACGGGTAGGGAGCATCTTCTTTTTTATGGAAGACTTAAGAACCTTAAAGGTACCACCTTAACGCAAGTAAGTTGTCATTCACTTTGGCTATGTTTGTTACAAGGGGCACCATAAGAGTAAGAGTATATTGACAAACTTTCTAGAGCTATTTTTTAGTATGAGACTGATGAGGTGTCTTTTTCAAAAAAAAAAAAAAAAAAGAAGAAGATCAATAGCAAGTATGTATCCCAACTCGCTCCACTTTTTTGAGTGGGACAAAAAAATTGTAATTTTTGTCCCATGGACTCTGGGCCAATTCTACGAATGCCAAAGAAAGTCCTGTTATGTTTTGAGTAACAAATAGGACCTTTAAGACAACTTTCTTGCTAAGAGACTTGGAACTTATTTTGTAAATGGTGTTGTTTCAGGCGGTTGATGAATCTCTTAGAAGCGTGAATCTATTCACTGGTGGGATTGCAGACAAGCAATCCGGGAAGTACAGTGGAGGCATGAAGAGGAGGCTGAGTGTTGCCATTTCATTGATTGGAGATCCGAAGGTTGTGTATATGGATGAGCCCAGTACTGGACTCGACCCAGCTTCAAGAAAAAATCTATGGAACGTGGTGAAACGGGCTAAACAAAATTGTGCAATTATTCTCACCAGTAATCCTCTAATACTTTTCTGTCGTGTCCAGTGTTGCATAACAAACACGACCTTAGTACTTTTGTCCCAAAAATAATTCACTTAGACTAACATGCGACTTTCTCTTGGGATTTTTCCTGAAACAAAGGGTGCATATTTTGAACTTGTTTTATTAAGGTAAAGATAATTGAAATGGGTAATGAAAATATTTCAGCGCATTCTATGGAGGAAGCGGAGCATCTATGTGACCGCTTAGGGATTTTTGTAGATGGCAGTTTGCAGTGTGTCGGAAACCCTAAAGAGATATTGTGATCAATACATGCATACCCTAACAAATCGTTACATTTCTTTGATATGCAATGGGTATGCCATAATGTTGTTTGGATTAAGGATTATACAAAAAGGTAGGGAAATGGAGAGGAAAACTAAATGAGAGGAAATTTGTGAAATTAAAGTTAGGACTTGAGGAGGAAAGCCTTGTTTCCATGACTTTCTCTAGAGTCACTTTTTCTGCATTAAATCAAAAAGAAACACCCATTTATAGCTTAACGGTTTAAGTATTGTCCCCACAAAATCCATTAAGTGAAAAATAAACAACGTTCGATGAATAGTTCTTTAATCAGTGTCTTACTATCTTTATTTTGAACTAGGACAGTTGAAGCGTAAATACGGAGGTTCATATGTGTTCACAATGACAACATCTTCAAATCACGAGGTGGATGTAGAAAACCTAGTAAAAGGTCTCTCGCCCGATGCTAAAAAGATATACGAACTATCTGGGACACAAAAGTTTGAGTTGCCAAAAGAAGCCATCAAAATAGCAGATGTTTTTCGTGCTATCGAAAATGCTAAAAGCAGGTTCATCGTTCAGGCATGGGGGATTGCGGACACTACTCTAGAGGATGTGTTCATCAAAGTGGCTCGAGAGGCTCAACCATTTGATGTTCTCTCATGATAACTTCAGTTGAAGATCATAAGTTTGAATCTTTTTTTCTCGTTAACAGATTAAGAGAGAAGTATATGTATCCCTCCATAAGTATTTCGGTTTGTAATAAAATGAATTCTCATCAATCATTGCAGTTGTATCTTTCTATACTTTCTCTCAAAGAAGATAAGGAATTGTGGGCACTTTGTGACCAAAGGTTTCTGTCGGCCTTGGGGGATTGCAAATCCCAAAAACTGTTGAGATAATTCATAGTATAGTCAATTCCCTGCACGTTTTAAATTAAAAATTACTTAGTTTATTTTCCTTTGAAAAATCAAGACCATGTGGCAGATAATTCCTGGTCTTTAGCAATTAGGTAGTTAGTTTCCTATTTTCCTGCAAACTTTCCAGTCTATATAGAAAGGCAAGTGTACGTAGTGAGTTGTATCCTCCGGTTTTTATTTCTTGTTGTTAAGTGAATAAAGAGTATCACTTTGCCTTAAATTATCCCTGTGTTTTTTAACTATGATCAGTGCTTCCTGTTCAGATTGATAAAAGCTGCATATTCCTGTTTTACCCTACCTGTCACTTAGCTGTTTTGTCCCCTGTGCAGTTTTGCTTTCTTGTGCCCTGTTTCTTTTTTGGTAAAAGGTCTTTGTTATCCCTGCAAAAGACCAACATCTGGTATCAGAGCTTTCAGGTGCATGCCCAAGTACCAGAGCTTTCAGGTGCATGCCCAAGTACCAGTCTCGAGAAGAAATGACTGGAAATAATGGAAATGGCGACAAGGAAGGTCAGATTACTCTTCATTACCCAATGCTCTCCAGAAGTAATTATGGTGCATGGGCTATAAAGATGAGAGTCTTCATGCAAGCTCAAGTGTAACATCCCGTTTTAAATAGATTATTAAATAATAAATCAGGAACCCCGAGAAGCAAGTTTTATTATTAATATATATAATTATCGTCCAAAATCAAATAATAATTAGTGGGCTGTTGGTTTCGGGAAGCCAAATGACGAGATTTGAATCCTCGGGGGTTAAAGTGGAAGTTCCGGATTTAATTTGAAAAAGATTTTAGAAGCCATGGTGTGTTTGGTAAGTAATGGACTTAAATTGAAAGGAATTGAAGGCTTAGGGGGCTGATTGGTAATTAAGGGATTTATTTTGAAAGAAGAAGGATAAGGAGGGACTGGAAGTGTCAAGAGGGACAAAGTTTGAGATGGGGCGGGTACGTATAAATGCATTACGCATGCATTCTAACCCTAACCCTATGGATCCCTCTTCAGCCGCAATCACCACCTTATGTCTCCCCACCGGCGCCGCTGCCACCCTTCACTCATTCCTGTTCCGATCAACCAAAGGCCGCCGGCGAGCCTTGCTGCCGGCGTGCACGTCTCGTTCCACTGTTCCCTTGCCGTCAACGACACATCGTGGGTGTAGCTACTGCCGTTCGTTGAGCGCCGCCAGGAGCATGGTAGCGGCCATATTTCGTGGCTGCCGTTGTTGCTTGTGAGACTGCTTTTCAGCCTCTGTCACCACCCATCTAGTCCTTCTCCGACCACCGAAGCCGCTACCGTAAACCGATGAGGCCGACGAAGTTGTTCACTGTCGCAATCTTCCCTCGCCGACGACGACATTGCCGCCGTTAGACCTCGCTGCACCGCTAGAACCGTTGTTGTCGTTCACAAACCACCACCCTCGTCGTTGTTTCGTCTGTGTGACTTTACAGCTCCATCTGCCGCCAAACTCAGCCTGCCACCACCGTGATTCTCTAAGTGGGTGGTGTTGTTGTTGTCCGGGATCGTGTATGTGCTTATCCTCGGGTGTAATCCAGTCAAGGTTGTGTTTGGTGTTGGGTTGGCCGGAAACCAAGGAAGACCACCATGGCTGCCAACCATGGTGGTAACCACCGCCTTTGTTGCTCTGCCACCACCAGCCGTCGCGTGGTGGTGGTTGTGTGTGTGTTTTGCTATGGATTTAGGTGTGTGTGTGTGAGTGTGTGTTAGTGTGTGTATGTGTTATTTTGGTTTTTAGCATTGTAATTGTAACAAAAGTGGAATAATGAAGAGAAAAACCCAAACCACCACCGTAGAGTGGTGGCTGCCGCCACCGGCCGCCGTGTTGGGTGGCGGTGTGCTTAGTTTGCTTGTTGACTCGTTTGGGATGCTTGGAAAAGATGGGCCTGACGAAACCCTAGTGGGCCCAATGAAACCCTAATGGGCCCAATGAAGCCCTAACTGACCTAAAAGCCCAATCATGTGACTAATAGGCTAGTATTAGGTTGGAAACCCTAATTAGGGTTTGGAAAAACCCTAATGTCTTGGAAACCCTAATTTTGAGGATTGATCGGGACCCACGTTGGAGTTAATTATTAAACCTAAAATAATACTTAATAATCATTGGCAAATTAACTTAAAGCAATATTGGATTTAATGGATTAAGTCCTTAATGGGTTAAGTAGAAACACTTAACCCTAATCATCATTTCATGTGAAAGCCCTAATCTCACTCGGGCCTTGAATTGGACCTTCCTATTGGTCTTTGGCGATTAGACTATTGGTGGGCCATCCAAGAATAAGTTAATGGACCAAAATAAGTAGATGGGCTTTAGGATAAGGCCCATGTGAGGACTTGGGCCCAATTTGGAAAATTGGGCCATAATTGAGCCTTTATGACTATGTGATAATGGGCCATGGGAATTGGATTGGAATAATTGAATGGGCCTTAAGGAAAGACCATGTAAAGGTCTGGGCCCAATTTGGAAAATTGGGCCATATGTTGGGCTTTGGCCCATTATTTTACTTTTGGGCTTTTGTAGTGTGAGTTGGACCTTGGGCTTGGAACCCAATTATTAATTGGGTATTGTTTGATGTTGACAGTTCGGGAATCTGTCAACCAGCAGCTGGAGTTTTATCTGCGGGACTTCAGTAATGCCAGGTGAGTTATCCTCATTATACTAAGGGGTCTAAGGCACCAAGGCCGGCCCATTGGATATGTTATCCTAGCAGTGTTAGATGTTGGGTATGAGTTAGTGTTGCATGCTAGTGGTTATGCCATTTAGGTAGATCTGTAGGACTACATGTGTTGTTATATGATTATCTGCATGCTCAGTAGTTATGTTATATGTTATATGTTATGGGGGATGGGTTGAGGTGTTACTGCTCTGTGCGGTAACCAACAAACCCGAGAGCATTCCAGATATGAGTTGTGGGCCCGGTAGGCAATCCAGACTCGTACTGTGGGCTCGGTGGCAATCCAGATGTGAGCTGTGGGCCCGGAAGGCAATCCAGACTCACACTGTGGGCCCAGTGGTAATCCAGTACCTGGAGCATTCCAGATACGAGCTGAGGGAGACTCATATTGTAGGCTCGATGGCAATCTAGATGTGAGTTGTGGGCCCGGTAGGCAATCCAGACTCACACTGTGGGCCCAGGGGTAATCCAGTCTGTAAAGCTGTGGACCCGTTACATGTTGTTCAGCTTGTTATGTTATTGTTGATATTGTTATGTGGACTGTATGTGTATCGGTATTTTGGGGTAACTCATTAAGCTTTCGGGCTTACAGTTTCAGTTTATTGTTTCAGGTGCATCAGGGGATCGTGGCAAGGCAAAGGCGTGATCGTACAGCTCCTCACTTTTTATGACTATGTTTCTGGGATACTCTGATATTAAACTATTTTGAAAACATTTTGTAATGACTAATGGGTTTTGAATTGTTTAAAAAGTTTTAAATTGGCTTGAATGTTACGGGTGTTACATCAAGGAGTTTGGGAGGCAGTGGAGCCCAGGACTCAGAACACAATTGTGGAAATTAAGAAAGATAAGATGGCTCTGGCAGCCATCTATCAAGGTATTCCTGAAGACCTGTTACTCTCTTTGGCAGAGAAGAAGACAGCCAAAGAGGCATGTGATGCCTTGAAAACCATGTTTATGGGAGCAGATAGGGTGAAGACAGCTAGGATATAGACATTGAAGACAGATTTTGAGGCCATGACAATGAAGGTGACAGAAGGGATAGATGACTTTGCTGCAAAAGTATGCAACATTGTGAGCACCATGCGCACTCTTGGGGACACTATAGAGGAGTTCTACATTGTAAAGAAACTGTTGAGGGCAGTACCGTCCAAGTTTCTCCAAATTGCTTCAACAATTGAGCAATTTGGAGATATAAACTCCATGTCCGTTGAAGAAGTAATAGGAAGGCTTAAAGCCTATGAAGAATGGATGAAATGTCATGCTGAGCCAGAAGATAGAAAGCTTTTCATGACCTATCAGCAATGGTCAGAGAAGAACAAGAAGAAAGGTGATGGTGACTCAAAAACAAAGACAAACTGAGGTGGTTTCAGTGGTTCACGTGGCAGAGGAAGAGGTCGTGGTGGCCGTGGCAGAGGTGGTCACCATAATCAGGGAGGCCAAGGTACTTCTAGCAGTCAAGATAAAAATGGTGTACAGTGCTACAATTGCCAAGAATTTGGGCACTATGCAGCAGAGTGCAAGAACCCAAAGAAGGAAAGAAATCAAGAGAGTAATCTGGTCCAGGATGATAATGAACCAGTTTTGCCGCTGTCAGCCTTTGAAGAGACAGGGGAAGTACTTCTAAATGAAGAAAAAGTGAAGCCTGAGGTGAATCCAAATGGGGGAGCCTTGAATCAGTCAAAGGTGTGGTACCTTGACACTAGGGCCAGCAACCACATGACTGGGGACAAAGACAAGTTTCAAAGCCTGGACAGAAAAGTCCATGGGGTTGTGAAATTTGGGAATGAAACTAAATTAAGAATCGAAGGGAAAGGATCGATTCTACTCCAGTGCAAGAATGTAGAAGAAAGAAGATTGAAGGATGTGTATTACATACCTGATCTCTGCAGCAATATAATTAGCCTTGGGCAGCTTTCCGAAGGAGGTGATGAGATCAGAATTAAGGAGCCTTTCATGTGGTTGCATGATGCTAATGGAAGACTACTAATGAAGGTGAAGAAGTCCCCAAATCGACTCTACAAAATCCATTCAGAAGAGGTCATACCAAAGTGCTTAGTAGCTAATCTTAATGACACTACATGGCTCTGGCACACAAGGCTAGGGCATGTTAACTTTACCTCTTTGAAGACCAAGTCTGAAAAGGCTTTAATTGAAGGAATTCCTAATATCCAAGTGCCATCAGAACCCTGTGAGGGGTGCTTAAGAGGGAAGCAAGAAAGAACACCA